ACCCCTGCAAGAGAAACAATTTGAGAATTACAGCACTATGTTATTAGTAATAGCATCTATCAAAAAGTTCTTTGAATAGAAGCTGATTCAGAAGTAGAAGTCATTTTAGAATTACTTGCTTAACATTATTTGATCTTTCCAATAACTACTTCCTCAACTATTTGCATAGGAGCAGTTAAAGCACTACAAAGGTAGATTTATGGAAGTTAATGATATTTACCAGAAGACACTAGTCATGGTTATTTTATTAAATTTGATACTGCCTCCAGAATTAGAACTAGCAGGGTTCTGAATAATAATAGAATATCAGTTGCTATTAATAAGCGTACATAAGAGAGTGCTTTGTGTTATGATCAATACGGAAACAGAATCCTGGACTAGATGGGCCTTTTCATACAGCAATTTTAGTGTTGTTAAAATGTGTTTCTTGGCAAAACCTTCATCCAAGGAAGATAACTCAATTCTAGCCATTTTTGCATCAGAATTAAAACTACTATTCAAAAGAATGTAAGATACAGTAATTCTATTTTTTTAATCTGTCACCAACATACTAAACTCTAATTTAGATTAAGAAATATAATCAGGGTAACTTTTCCTACAGATCAAAGGAAAATAAGCTTTTTTGAAGTCCACTGTAGCTTTGAATTAAGTGTCTGGTCATAAATCAAAGAATATCTGATCCAAACTATATCATATCTAACATAATGGTCTGGCTAACATACTATAGTATATTAAGTTTACCCGCAACATGATATATCACAAGCTAATAATTTAGCTTGCTTTAGCATGATGAATAAATCCAGGCTTCCTATTTCTTATGAATATATGTGAAAGAGAGCCTAGATAAAACACGGTGGATGGAAAAACAAGATAAAATAGAATGTAATGATGTTTGCAATTAATTGGTTTGTAATTAAGGGATGATTTTCCACCCATAATGGTAATAATAATAATGTTTGTAATTACATGGTTTGTAATTAATGTAATAAAATAGAAACTTTGTTTCCCCACCTGCTGTTTGGCCATTTTTGAGCCTCAGCAGCAGCAGCAGGAAAAAGAAGGCAGGGAATATCAGTTGGGGACGATAGCAATAGCAATAGCACTTAGACTTATATATCACTTTATAGTGCTTTACAGCCCTCTCTAAGCGGTTTACAGAGTCAGGATATCGCCCCCAACAATCTGGGACCTAGTTTTACCCACTTTGGAAGGATGGAAGGCTGAGTCAACCTTGAGCCTGGTGACATTTGATCTGCCAAATTGCAGGCAGCTGGCTGCAACAGAAGTAGCTTGCCAGTACTGCACTCTAACCACTATGCCACCAAGGCGCAGAGGGCATTGTGGGGAGGGTGTTTTCAGGGTAGAATGTAAGGCAGCCAACAGAACAGAGATGGAGAGAAGATGGGCAGAGGGGAGGACTTGCAGTACCTCTGAAGTCTTAAACGTGGGCAGGCTGCCAAGGGTTAAAATTCTGATCATGTTATGGCGGGGGGGGGGGGGGGGCATAACTATTGAAACCAGTCATAAATGCCATTCATTTTGCACTATTCTAACTTCAAATGGTTGCTGAACTTTAAATCCTATTTAAAATTTCAATTTAAAAATTAAAAACAATTCTCAATAATCATGATGGATGCAAGGCACGCATCTATAAAAGTAATATTTTGAAGCTCAAGAACTTCCAAAATCATCCTCTCTCTCAGTAAGTTGCAAATATACGCTATTGCTAAGTGAAAAAGATCAGTGTAGTTACCATAAACGTATTTTCTTGAAGTGGTGCATCAAGGTTTCAGACTAAATATAGATTAAGTATTATTAAGTGTATTGGTAACCCCAGACTTTGAGGGGGGGCTATTTCAGAATATATTCAAGGGATATATTCAAGGGATTAAATAATTTACAATTATTTAAAAGTTACAATTTAAATCAATTTTTGTTTTAAAAAAATACATTCAGCATACTGTTAAATGTTTTGAATATTTCAGCGTCAGAAAGTTGTTCCAGTAGAGAAAAGGTACACAAAAATAGCAACTATGATAACCATGGAGTAGGCACTTTAGTTTCCCTAGGAAAGATACATCCTTTGGGACATCTTAGCTGAGAAAAAGGCAGCTAATATGATATAGCTTTGGAAATAATTAATTATGTAAGGTACATTATCCAAAATCTATCGATATTCAAATTAAAAGAAAATAACTTTTTAACACCTGTCACAAGTTAGCTAATTAGACATTAGATAATCATAAAGGCTATATAGAACTCCCAGTTTTCAAGCTAATGAAAGTTACTGCTTACAGACAATCCAAAATATAGATTTTTGGCTATTGGTTAATGTGGTAAATAATTGCAAAACTTGATATCCATTTAAGAAGTGAAATGTGAAAAAGACATGATTTGAAGACAAGCTGAAATAGATGTTGGGGCAATTTGTTAATTATTGCCTTAGATTATATAGTAAATAGACATCTAATTACTGATGAGTATTTAGATTCTATGCTATTCATAAAATTCAAGAGCAATAATAGGAAAACTTTATTTGATTAATAACAGAAGATGAAACCAAAGAAGCAGGAAAGAAATTGAAATTGAATTAATCTCCAGGACTTGAATGGTATCCCTGCAATATACATCAAGACTTTTCAGGCAATCCTATTTAAATTTTTAATCCAGGCAATGAACAAGGTCCAACAATGCCAAGTTGTTTTATCGTGGACAGAAGCTTTTATTTCTTAGATTTACAAATTATCTAATTTGATGCTAAACTGTATATGCAGATCTATTACAAAGAGAATAAATTATCTTCTAATTGGGTTAATACATATCAGAAATCATGCCATTCCTTAAAAGCTTGCAAAGCATAGGCTTCTAAATACTGATGGAATTTAACTGAGCCAATGAATAAAATTCTATACGTTTAAATCCTATTTAAAATTTCCAATTAAAAATTAAAAACAATTCTCAAAAATCATAAATCAGTTAGATTCAATCACAATCCCAAGTATGATAACAAGTACTAGGGAGAAATGTTAGTAATAAGTATTTAAGTGCTCATCTTCAAAATGTATTAATGCTACAACTGAGGCAATAACCATGGAAAGAATTCTAGAAAAAATATCTAAATAATCCAACAGCATTGCACTTTTTTTTAATTTCATCTAAATTTCAGGTTATCCTTCCATCTATCTTCCATATTATGTAAATCAGTGCGTTATACATTTTGATTCAAATAGTGATTCAAATTACAATACTTCTCTTCATTTTTAAGACACATTTTCATTGTCACATACAGAGTAGACATTATATTTGTTTAGTGTTCTCAATATTTAATTCTTTAAAATCTTTTCTCTAGGGAAGAAAAGGCCTTGTGCAGAATAGGCAATGTAACAAAAAAATCTAAAAAAGTATAAAACTAGAGCAGAATGTATTTGAATATTAAAATAAATCTGTCATAAATCCGTGGTGGACAATTTATGGTCTACACCTCTGGTTCCCGATTGTGCAGTCAGACATCAATAGTTAAGTCAATGCCTCAGAATATATAAAATATAATTTTACAGGACAGAGGTGGTATTCAGCAGGTTCTGATCTGTTCTGGAGAACAGGTAATGAAAATTTTGAGTAGTTTAGAAAACCAGCAAACACCACCTCTGACTGGTCCCACCCCCATCTATTCTCTGCCTCCTGAGTGCCAGCTGATTGGCTGGGTCTTCTTTTGTTGCCATGCACAGGAGAACGGAGTTGGAAAGCAGTTTAGTGGGGTAGGAAGGGAATTGAGATTTTGCAGTATCTGTCCCGCCACGCCCACCAACCACGCCCACCAAGTTACGCCCACAGAACCAGTAGCAAAAAAATTTGAATCCCACCACTGGTATAGGATCCTCAGAAGTTGCCTTTTTCCACTTCTGTCATTTTACAATTCATTCTTAGATGATAAGAGCTTTCAACAGCTGAAGAACTTTGTCAGTACCATGATCTGTCAGCACTCTGTCAACACAAACCACTTTGCAAAGCTGTTTTATTTCTTGAGGCAGATTAATGTAGCATATCATAGTCTGGGTTTCACTAACTCAATAAATCTACAATTTGGTGCAAATCCTAGTGTTAGCCTAAATCCTTTGGAGCAAGGGTCTTCAAACTTGGCAAGTTTAAGACTTGTGGACTTCAATTCCCAGAATTCCTGAGCTAACATGACTGGAGGAGGAATTCTGGGAGTTGAAGTCCACAAGTCTTAAAGCTGTCAAGTTTGAAGACCCCTGCTTTGGAGGAATATCCATGGAGCATTCTCCATGACCTATAGATCATAAAGTCCCAATTTCCAGAAGCCCACTTCACCAATACAAAGCACTAGAAGTCTCACATAAATTACAGTATGGGAAACAATTTTGGCATAGCACCTGCATGAGAAACTGAGCAGAGTTATCACGTTGGTTTGCCTGTCTTATTTGTAAACTGCCAAGTCCCTCAAGTATTTCAGCCAGGCTAGAAAAGTTCACAAGGTCACAGATCTACTTAGCAAAGGTTAGAACAGAAAACCATCTTTTTGCTTCCATCTAGTGGTCATCTGGAAGTTTGTTTCTCAGAGGTGGGAAACCTAGCTTGATACAGAGCAGATAGCAGGAGCACAGGATGCAACAGCCGTAAAAATATTAATCAGACTGGTTTGACAATGTTTCCAGATTTTAGTTTTTAAATATCTCTTAAAAAATTAGAGCATATTGCTGGGCTCAGACAGCACATTACTTGTTCAACTATTGCTGCATGAGCAAACAAAAATATCTGTGTTCACTATTCTCATTAAACAAGACCAAATAAACCATCATTTACTTTAATATAATCTAATCTGTAAATGCTGTTTTATAAAGCAAAGCTATAGACATTTACTCAAAATGTCCCTTTGATTTCCAAATAAATCAGAACAGGCTGAAATCTAAATCAATAAGTTTCTTTTGTTTGTACTTCAAGTGTAATATAGATTTATATTAATATGTAATATACATCACCTCATTATTAATTTCCACAGGTTTTTTCTTTGGCTCTCCAATATCCAAATAACTGAAAAAAATAAGAAAACAAAATAGGTTATTTACTAATACGAAATGCAAAAAAACTATATTTACAAGAATATTCTTTTTCTTGCCTTATATTTTCTTATTTTCATGGTTTTTCCTAATAACCAGCCAAAACATTATACCCATGTGACAAACTCAATTCTTAGTAGGCTGTTAGGAATATTGCCTTATATTTTTTTAATTACTATAAAAGCTTGACAACTTTGGGTGGCTCTATAGTGCATTCACTAGATAAGTGCTTAACCAATAAACCGCATTATAGTGATAATAAGTTCAATATGATTTATGTATGATTCCAGCAAATAACAATGACAAGGAATTAATATTATATGATGACAGGGTTACTCTACATTTTATGATATTTTCTTATTATTTTAATAAACATTATACATTCTACAAATTCTACAAGTATGGAAGTCCCTGTTCTACATGTTAAGTCTTTATACAACTCTGGTTCTTTTCTAAACTTATGAGATAAAATGTTTAAACATTCATTTCAGCAACCTCTAAAACAATAAAATCTATCAAAAATAAAAATATAATGATACAAGGCAATGATTATTGTAAAATTGTACTTTTAAAATTAAGTACATATAGTACATCACACCAATTTACAAGTATATCTTTACATCTTTAAGCACTATACATGCTTAATTTTAAAAATACAATTTTCTGCAGAATTTGGAATCTTTTTGTTAATAATTGATTAGCTGTGAGAGAAGATTATAGGCAGTAGTGTTTAAACCGAAGAGAATGCAAAGTACAAGGATGGAACTAACAAAAGGTGTGTGTGTGTGTGTGTGTGTGTGTGTGTGTGTATGTGTTACATATATATTACATCTGACATTACTTTATTAACACATATTAGAAGAATCTGTTTTCTAAACTCATATTGATTTACATTATTTTACAGTAAGCCTCATTTCTACTTCCCATAACAAATTATGAGAATTATAATTTGGCTTCAATGCTTTAAATGTTCTGTTAATCATCCATGAACTTTCATCAGCAGTACTTTGCATGACAAGCTGAGTCTGTCATACCAGTGTGTCCAATACTACTGTTATCAGTCCTCCTTTTAGCCGCTGAGGTAGGTCAGATATTTACAAACCCTTTTTTAAAAATTAGTCATGGTAATTGCAAGCGAGGACCACTGACATTAAAGATATATAAAAGATTCCAAATGGCTTGCTTCTGAATGGTAGCTTTAAATCAAAAGTCAATTAATCAAAATTGTTAATGATGTTGGAATGGGACTTTTCACTTAAATGTTCCATCATTTCTGAAAGAAAATAAATGTATAGAGAGATAAAGATACATACAGAGGAAGCCTGGAGAACTGGGCCTATGAACCATTGTTTAGTTAAAACAATAGTTCATAGATTTTTAAGTTAACTGTAAGAAAAAAATAATGCTTTTACCCTCTCCTCGGAGGATTTCTATATCATATTCACTTTCTATATCATGTTGGTTGAAATAAACATATGACTACTTACTTTAGTTTTTTGAAAGCTTCTCTGCCACCAGCAACATAGTGCTCTCCACTTTGAATCTCATCTAGCTGACGAATGCGATGCCCACCCCGAGGTGTATAAATATTCCGCACAGCTCCAAAAGGAGCATTCACACCACCTGTCACTTCCTTTAGAAAGACATCAAAACTGGACACCTTCTTCTCATGGATAACAACACGCCGGCCAGGGAAGAAAGGGTCTCCATTACGATACACCATCACACTCTTCACCACAGGTTGTGACAGGCATGTTGGCTTGGCACTGGGACTACTCATAGCCGTCTTTGCACTCTCCTGTCCTGGGTCCTGTTGGTAATGAACACAGTGGTTTGCAAACCTGCAGGTTTAATAAGAATATAATTTATTTTCTTTCACTGGTTTTCTCTGACAATTATCTTTGAATTCCAGTTTTGCAGTATAGGCACTGCATACACATCTACAGCATGACTGGCACGCCAGAGCAATTGCCAATAGTATTTCTATTTCTAAAAAAACAGGGAGCCTATTAAAATCTCCCAAAGGTTTTAAGAGTCCCTTTGCTAGGCAACCAATTCTTGCCAGTCTCTTAAGAATAGTAAAGTCACCATGATTTCTTCTCCTGCATATTCATACAAACTAAAGATGCAAAGTACAAATGCTTATAGCATACAGTGAAGAAACCACATTCCTCCCTAACTCTGCTGTTATGGAAGCCCCAGAAAACCCACTTTTCAAAATATTTCAATTAAGTATCACATTTTCACTCCTCTTTTTGCTCACTCTTTTCTGTTTTCCTTATCTTCTTCACTTAAAAAATAAATAGCCATGAAGTGGCTGTCTAAATGAGCCTACCATGAAATTCATAAGATAAAGTAAGTGTTTATTATCTAATATTAAAAGGCATGTGTAATTTACAATAATTTTAATAGCAGTTGGCAGAAGCACAAAAAGAAATGGCAGAATATAGAAAAACCACATAGGGTCAATATTTGGGAAGTTGCAAAATTTACTTAGGAAATGTTCATATTAAAATGGAAATTTTTTAATAGAATCAAAAGTTGAATGAGATATTAGCATTCTTTACTGTTTCTACTGAAGAGATTAAACAATAAGCAGAGATGGACAATCTTACAAGTGATTTCAATTATACAATTCACCTGTACTGAAATTAAAAGGTATCATGGTTCCCAGCATGTTAAAATGCCACTCCCAAAATCTATTATTATTATTATATTGAGAAGAAAAGTTTTTGCCTATGCTATTACCAAATTATATTAGCAGAAAAAGGTGCTTTTTTTTTTTTAACAAAGAGAGCATTTAAAATTGTGAGTCCCTTACATATAACCCTCCAAATTTATCATACACTGAATCACCTCAAGACCACTACATTTCATTCTTCTGTCATTTGGTTTCAAGGTATGTGTCTATAGTCTCACTCCATTTTGGCCCATTTCATTCACTCAGATTTTGTCCTCTGCCACCTGAGTAAGTTAAGTAAAACGAGGACATCAACCTGCTAGTCCAAACTTCAGTCTACTTGTTACAAAGATGTGTCCTACATACATCACAGAGACACACACCTAAGTGAACAAAAAGCCTAAGGCTGCTTCTGTGTTAAGTACAATATTATTGTATCTTCAGCAGGATCCAGCCACTAACAAATTGAGCTCCTTCCTTCCTTCCTCCACCTCCCTCTCTCTCACACACACACACACACACAATCACATGCACACACAAAACACACTTTTTCCCTTCTTATATCTGACAAGAGAGTCTTTACATTTCACCACCACCAGTTGTGTGATCACTTGGAACTGGATCCCAAAGGAGAGAAGTTTTTGCCACGGGACGGAAAGCAACTCTGCCGTTTCCTCCCACGAGCTACCGCAACTGCCAATGCTGTGGGAGAAAAGAGGCAGCTTGCCGTCCACTTTAGACCACGCCGTCGACTTGCGGAGTCAGGCACTTACTTCCCTCGGTGAGAATGCCTCGAAAGCCAAAATCCCGGGGGGAGAGAGAGAGAGAGAGAGAAGGGAACCGCGCCAAGCCAGGACCGTCGTCCCGGCGTCGAGCAAAGAGCAGAAAGGAGAAAGCGGGAGAGGCACCTGAGCGAGTCCCGAAGCCTCTTCCCCACCCCGGGAGAGCTCAGCCGCCCTTCTCTCTTCCTCTCCGCCTACCACGGGTTCAGCTTTGGGCACCATGTGCTCTCCTCCCCAGGGGAGACCGAGGGTTCGGGCTGGTGCCAGAGCCGCGGCTGCCACAGCCAAGCGCCCTCATGGTTTCCAAAGTTGAAGAAGAGAAGGCGGCAGGGGAAGGCGTGGCAGTTCCCGGCCGTGGGTTTCTGCTCCGGGAACGCTGGACTTTTTTTTTTTTCCCTGTCCGCCGTTGCCACGGCAACGCCCCTGGCTCGGGAGCAAGGTGTGTGTGTGTGTGTGTGTGTGTGTGTGTGTGTGTGTGTGTGTGAGAGAGAGAGAGAGAGAGAGAGAGAGAGAGTTTCCAACCTGGAGGCCCTGCCAGGAACGTCGCGGGAGAGAAAATTGCACAGGGTCGTGGCTTCCCTAGCCTGATCCCCGAGCAAGGAAGAGGAAGGAGAATGATGGCACCTGCAGGAGTGAGGGACAAGAGGGCCAAAGGGCACCGTTGATATCCTGGCCCAAGCAGTTCCTGTGGAAGTCGTCTGCGCCTGGAGAGATTCGGTGGGGGAGATTCTTGGAAGCAAAAACGGCAGTTGGGACTCCCTGGTTGCTCCCTAGTAGTGGATGGGGTTCCAAACTGCTTTTGTCAGCCATTCTTCATTTCTCCATTAAGTCCTTGAAACACTTGTTGTTTGTCTTTGCAAACCGACACCTACTCCCCCCGCCCCCACAAGATGTTCTACTAAGTGTCTTCAGTGGAGAGGTATTTAGCATACTTCCTCTCCCCTCCCCCCATAGAAATTAAAGGAAATTGTAGTTTTGGCAGCTTTTGTGCAACAGTGTTCTTCTGAATGAGAGGTGGTGTGATTTAGTGATTGCAGTGGTGCTCAGGAGTGATTTGGGTCAAGTCATTGTCAGCTCAATTTGTAGATGAGCACCAAGATAGCCTTTTTTTTTAAAAAAAAGTTTTAATCAGTTTTTATTTTTATTTTAAGAAGTATAAAGGATTTCTTATTATAGAATACACAAAATCTTTGTGGTGGTGGTATATTTATAACTGAAGCTTTAAAATCATTTATTCATAGTCAATTAGCTGTTAACACTTCGAGATTGGATGAAAAATATATTTGGCACTTTTTTATGTTCTCTGAGTGTTGTTCTTGGGATTAATTGTTCCAGCTGTGAATATTCTTATCACCACTAGGATTACTTTGGCTTTACCTGCCCACATCCTCTAGTTGTTCCTTCAGGCCGTGGTATTTCTGCAGTTTCTCATATGCCTTCTTCCTGATGTTGTCATTTGGTACCAGTACATCTAACATTGCTGCTATTTCTGGTCCTTGTCTACTATCATCATGCCTGGTTGATTGGCCAATAGCTGCCTGTCTATCTGGATCTGAAAGTCCAACAGAATCTTAGCACTCTTAAGTCTCCACAACCTTCTCTTGCATCTCTCATCTGGCCTTGGGAGGATCTAGGCCAGGGGTGTCCAACCTTGGCAACTTTAAGACTTGTGGACTTCAACTCCCAGAATTCCTCAGCCAGCCATTTCTTTACACAATGCCAGCTACTTGCTTGTGCCATTCAATGTATGCTGGTTCTGCCTACATCTTACATTTCATTACTGTATGTTGGACTGTCTCTGAGGTTTCTGCATAGTTGGTACCTCAGGTCCTGTATAGTGCGGTAGATTCCTGTTTCTATGGATCTGGTGTTTAATGACTGTTTTGTGCTGCAACGATCAGTGCTTCAATGCTGTCTTTTAGTCCAGCTCTTCCCAACTACCATACTGCTACGATTTCCTAATGTCTGCCAACTTAGCTGCCTGTCAGTGGTGAATCCCATGCAAAGTCATATCTTGCCATGAAGCTTTCTTTGCTTGACCCCATGTCTATTGCAGTCTCAGGCATTCTTTTAGTGGTTCATCTTTGGATGCCATGTATTCTTGGATGCTCTTGGTTTCTTCCAGGACATGGTTTTGACACTCACCAACCAATCAATTTGCATTCTTCTATGTTGCTCTAAGAGCAGAGAACCGAAGAGAGCACTGTGCTCTCCTCTCTCAACTGTGGACTCTGTGTTCTTCTCAAGAAGAACATTACGGAAAGGAGCAAAACAAAGAAAACCCTTACATCAGCCACTGATAGATGAGCTGCTAGGCAATTGCCCAAACTTTCATGGGCAACAGGTCCAAGAACAACCTCTTCCTTTTCAGTCAAGCATAGCAAGCTAAAACCATTTGATAAGAATGCCAATATGAAGAACCACCTTCTCCATTATCCTTTTGCTTTTGATTCTTTCAACTGACAATAGGCCTGTTTTTCATTTTTAACAGGTTTGAGATATTTTGGGGGACAATAACTGTCTAAAAAGTAAGATGAAAAGGAATGGCAACCTATACCCTCTTATCTAGGAGTACTTTCGCTGAGGACTTTTATCAAGGACTTTGTAGCAAATGACTAGGCTGCGCCCGAGGAAGGGGTCAAAGACATCCGTCAGGAGTCCCTTCACACCCACCAGAGATCTACCATAAATCTGGCCCACCTTGAATTCCATTGACTCGTTATCTACTGCCTATTTGCTTTAACCATTAGTAATTCAGATTTTGTAGACAGCATAAGCTTGCAAAAAACTTTTATATTCATTTGAACTGCCCAGATTTCCTGATTTTCCCATGCTTGACAGATTTGTGCCAATTGAAAACCAAATTTGAACTTCTGGGATTTGATTTCACAATATCAGTTGCGTTCATAAGTTTTGACAATTGATTTGAAGCTCGGCTATAATGCGTTTGAAATGAGCAAGTCTCTTATTGCGGGTGAGAGAGGATAATATTGTGACTCTGGAGTTTGGAGGTGATCTGTTTTCCCACTTGTTAAGCACTGCCTCAGAGGTGCAGTACTTCAGATCTTTTGAGAAACAAGTGAATTGACCCTCTTCAGTTCTGTTCTTCCAAACTCTTGGAATTAGCTTGAATATGACCAACAGATCTATCCAAGAAATAAGGGTGTGGATGAGGGCATGTAAGCAATATCTTTAGTGTGGAATTGGAGTATCTCCCACTGAACACAGGAGTTTATTTTTTAATAAGCACGCATATGCTTGCACTCCAAAACATAGTGAAAGAATCTCTCAAGTCAAAGCTTGACTCACCATGATTTCATGCCCGTGCTGTTTTCTTGGCAGCAATAGAGAAATTAGCCAGTGCCTTCTTTTGAAATGTTTTCTTCCAAGTTTAGACTATAGCCTTGAAGTGTTTAGGAGCCTCCCATCAAAAAACAAATGAGATCCAAACTTGCTTAACTTCCTCATGATCAGCTATTTGCTGTGACCAACACACTCTTTCTTTTTTTTCAATAGCCATGTGTTGCACCTAGCAATTCTTTGGAAAGACAGATACTGAAGCTGAAGCTAAAATACCGTGGCCACCTAATGAGAAGAGAGGACTCATTGGAAAAGTTCCTGACACTGGGAAAAGATTGAAGGCAAAAGGAGAAGGGGACAGCAGATGGTTAGATAGTGTCATCAACGCAATAAACATGAATTTGGGCAAACTCCAGGAGACAGTGTAGGACGGGGGCTGTCATGTTGTGCTCCATGGGGTCACAAAGAGTCGGACGCAGCAACTAAACAACAACAAGCACTTAACAAGGAGCTGATAACTTTAAATTTTAACTCAAGTTTAGTTTGTGCTTCAAGCTCTGTCATTATCTAGGTCTTCTCTATTTGTTTGAGTGGAATCACCCACTCAGAAAATCAATTAGAGTCAGTTAGATGAAGTCTACATAATAATTTTGTGAATGACAGGAAAAAAATATGGAACATCGTACAATATCTTTAAATAGATATGGTGGGAACTGTAATCGTGAAAGATCAGGGTTTTTTCCCATGCTCTGTTTTAAGTCTTTACTAGTAGAAATGTTATTGAATTTTTTTAAAGAAACCAAAGGGTTATTGGCTATTTTCCAATGTTTTGTTCTTTGTAATAAAGATAGTGTAGGTCAAATATAGTTTCTGTAGGCAATCTTTCATAACATTGTGACTGCTAAAGCAATAGCCTGTCCTGTGGAAGTAGACTCTGAGAAAGAGAGTTAAAAAACAGACATTTTTCAAATTAAGAATTTGGAGGTAGTCCATGGACTACAAGACAACCAATCAATCAACCCTGGATCATTGCTCCTTTGCAACAGCTATCAACAAAAAGAATCTCACATATTGTACTTTTGGAATGATATGAGCAGAACACAGATTAGGAAAAAAATAATTGCACCTGGCAAGACTGAGAGAAGCACTGTACAATGGCAATGGCTAGCAGATAGATGGGATCAAATAGGAAATATATGAATTTCTAGTTAAAGCAGGTCAGTATGGCACGTGTATATAAAATCATCATATGTAAAAACACCATATGTAAAACATGACTCAAAGACACAGAATTGAAGAAGCTCCTTGGATAAGAAGCAAAACATGTTCAAGGTAAAAACAAGGTCCAGTTGCCTTTTGAAAAAGACCTTTGGGACAACCATGACCTGATGACTGAGAATTTCCATACAGACTCAGTAGAACCTAAGAAATTAGCACTTCTAACCCATTAAGAAGTTCCAGGAAGAAAGGCAAGCATACTACTTCTCTGCCTTCTGAAGCAGCAAACTCCAGGCTCCACTCCTTTTTATTAAAGAGGTTTTCAACCAAATATAAACAGTACAAATGTTAATTTAAAGTAAGAAAACTAAAGAAAAAAGATTAAAAAAGAAAAGAAGGACAAAGGTCAAGGAAAAAAGGGAAAGATACAAAGAAGTGGCTTCCGATCTTAAGATAAAGTTGAGTTTTCCTTTCTTCAGCAAAAAGTTGGCAAGGGAATTTATTTTATTAGTTTGTATGTCAGATTGTCAGAGTAGTTGAGTGATCTAGCAAATTAATACACTGTTAATAAAAAAGACAACAGATAGTTATGGTAAGAGTACATACATTGTCAAAGAAAATAAAAAATGCATAGAATGTGCTTTTAAACTGAAAAAGACAAAGGAAATAGGAAAAAAGTATATTATTTTAGAACTAAATAGTTACAATTATCTCTATATGGATATGTATCATATATGTGTGTATGTGTATTATATGTGTGTGTATAAATCAAATATGTATATATTTCTAATAGTTACATAACTATCAAAAATTATTGTATTTTGTATCCTATATTTTATTATACTTGTCCATATAAAATTTACATCTATTGGCAATTCACTCATAGAGGAACATATACTTTAAAAAAAACATGGGTGAATTAATTATATTTTTAAACTTTTTTTTGCAACTTTCTTATGTATATTTCAAAAGTCCTCATACAGTAACTCCACACTTAGCAACACTGATTATAACACTATGCTACTAAAATTAAGAGAAAAATTATTCTGAATCAAAGAGATTATTCATGCTTTTTAAAAAGTATAGCTTATGAATTCGAACACTCAATATTATAAATGAGCGTTCTTCCTCCTCTCTGAATAAAGATTGCAATATAATACACAGTTCCAAATCAACTTAAGACGTTGACTTCAATGGACTTTTCTTGTACTCTTAGTTGGATAAGTGGTTTTCAAGTAATACATCATTAACTAGGCTTCAAAATTAATATCAAATCAGCTGAGCTGAGCTGGGCTCTAAAGCTAAGAAACATCAGGCCTGGGTAATATGATGAAGGAAGACCACCATGGCCCACCAGGGTTCTAGGTTAGAATGGACGTTTAGAACACATCCCCAAGAAAGCTCATGCTAAGCCCAAAAAAATCCCCCAATTTGGACGTGTTCATTAAATCACAAGATATAAGCTCAAGAGAAGCTTGCTGATAGATTTTATGAAGTCTGAAAACTTTGGTTGCATATCTATCTTTAAAAAAAAAAACAGTCCTGATTTCAAAGCAGGCGATGATAAAAGCACTCAGGAATTTCTCCTTTCTTTTTATCTCAGCATTCAGGAAAGAAAATAAACTCTCCCCTGCTGTGAGCTACAAAGAAGATAGTTAACCATTACCAAAAAAGTAATTTGGTGTAAAGCAGCTTTTGATGTATTGCAGTTACTGGTTAACACTAGTTGTGTTTTTCAATTTAGTCCTAAATTAATACGTATGAAAGTGGAGCATTATCATTTCATCTACAAATTCCTTACATGTGTGCTTTTTAATTTTATATGATTTATTGTTTTTTTAGTCAGTGGGACAAATAGCAGTGTTCAAAGGTTTGTGCTGCTGGACTCAGTGGCTCTGAGCTGGCTCTGAGAAATATTTACTATTTACAAAGAAACCATTTGTTCTCATTATTCCATAATTAATGTCCATAAAAATAATTCTAAGGAACATGATCCAGTTTGATCCATGCTTCATTTCCAATCAACCTATAAGCTGTAGAGAGGAAAAGTTTTGCCAAATACAGAAAAGGTTATTTGGTTTTGATAGTGCTAATCACTGCAATGCTGTTTTAGCTTTGGAATTGTCTGTACGGTGATATATAGAATAGTATCTAATACAGTCGAAAAACAGGAATTGCTATTCTCTCATAGTTGTTTATAAATAAAATGACTTTCCATTTATATAAATGTTATAATATTTATATACATTTCTTAAGGTTATGTCAACTACAGTCTTTGTTCATGCTATTTAACTCAAGTTTGAAAATAGCTTATAATGTAAAACTTGGAAGGCAAGAAAATGTTTAAACATCTAAGAATAGTTAATCTATTAAAATCAAATCAATTTTAAGCTATCTAAAATCAGTTTTGCCTGATAAATGCAATCATTTTTATTGCACACACACATCACTGCCATGAATATATTGTATTGACAGATATATCTACATATGTCTATGTACATTATTACAGTACTTCAGAATGTAGTGCTACTAACAACTTCTCAGGGACTTGTACAGTATGTTGGGAAGTAATGCTTAAACTGCTGTGCTGCAAATTTGTTCTGAATATGTTGCTGGCTTTGCAAAAAGTTGCCCCAGGCCCCCCTAAGAAAGATTTTCAATATACCTACAGTAAATGAAAGTAAACTTTAGCAAAATAATTATGCTGTTTTATTTTTAAATGAATATATTTTTAGGGGTGTATGTAAGATGATCAACATTATGAAAAATAGCCCAGATCACAAAATCAATACAATCTTAAACTGTGAAAAAAAAACATTTTTTCCTCTAATAATACAGAATTACTGTAATCTAAAACAGGTTTAAGTTCCAGCCACTGAACAAAGAAATGAGTGGCTCCAAAATGGAGTTTCCCACTCCTTTTTTATTCATCTCCGGGACAGTGGATGAAACAAGAACACCAAAAACACAGTGTACCAATGCACAATGTTGTTTATGAAAATGTAGGATTGTTGTTGAAACTAACTTGTGTATGTGTGTCAAAAAGTAATTTGGCTACTTCCTAAAAGTCATATAGAGCAGAGGTCTACAACTTTGGCAACCTTAAGCCTGGAGGACTTCAACTCTTAGAATTCTGGGAGTTTTCATAACATACTCAGCCTTAAAGTTGCCACGGTTGGAGACCCCTGATATAGAGGATGATCAGTATAATGTATCCAACAAGCCTACATCAAATCACAGGAAAGTGGTATTCACATCACACGATTGTTTTAAATGATCTCTGAGTATAAAAAAATTAAATGAATGAAACTATGCTCTTTTTTAATAGTCTGGTATTTATCTTCTTTTTCTAGATATGTCTTGGCAAGAAAAAATGGATGGTGAAAATATTTAATGTGTGCAACTCTACTGAGTCCTCAACAGTAATTGAGAATGTGCCTAAGAGTAATATGCTAGAATGATTTATAGGGTCAGGATAATACAGAAGAATTGCTGCTTTTCCATTCCATAGTTTTTTTACGTATTTATTAAATTTATATGCTGCCCATATCAATGTCCAGAGACGACTATTATTCATTTTTTTGAGAACCATGTCCTGACATCTAACATCAAAACATTTATTTAACATACTGCCACCTGCTGCAGGCACACAAAATGACAGGTTTTTACATAATAGCTAAGCGGATTGTTCTTCTCCTATAACACATTTGTGTTTACATCTTATGTCTATTTACACACACACATAGAGATTAAGAAAGAAAGGTGAAAAAATGAAGAATGTGCTACATTGCTCATGAAGTAATTTATTATTTATTACTATACTAATAACTTTGCCTCATGGCCCTAGAAACATGCACCCCATTTCAGTCACAAAATTATCCAAAGAATTCAAATACTTATGCTGTCAGGAACTGTTCCGAGTTACCATTAATTAGAACAATGTTGACTTTTTTGAGCCTAAAGATAATACACTTCTCAAGAGAAAGGTGATCTCTAAAGCTGAAACTTTTTACTTGAATCAGTGTTATAAAAGCTTTTTATACTAAATATGAGTACAAGAGTGCTACACAAAGTATTGTCATAGAACATTATAAATTTCTTCGTCTCCTAAGTTGATATCGACTTTGTTTTCCAAATATTACAAAAAAGTAAGATATGCATGGACAGAGCAGACTTTTTTTAACTTCAGTGTGTGACTGTTTTACGATTCAGAAATTAGCATCTTTAGTTTAGTTTACTTTGTCATTGCACCTTGTACAACGAAATCAAACACCATCTTCAGTGCACATCATGACCATGAAAATAAACACAAACACACATCCTTCACCCTCCACACACTGAACCAAAAACCCACAACACCGCACCAACACTGCACTATACAGTAGAATTCAACAGAGCTACAGCCCTGGGATAGAAGCTGTTTTTCAGCCTATTTGTCCTTGTTTTTATTATTCTGTACCATCTGCCAGATGGTAATAGTTCAAAAAAAGGGTTCCCAGGATGAGATGGATCTTTGAGAATGTTTTTAACTTTCTTAAGGCAGCGGGAGCACTAAAGCTCTTCCAAAGAGGGGAGAGGGCAACCAATGATCTTCTGGGCAATGACATTAATTCTCTGGAGTGCTTTCCTATCTGCCACTGTGCAATTGGCAAACCATGCAGAAGTGCAGTAAGTTAAGATACTCTCTGGTGCAGCAGTAGATCACCCAGTTTTTCACTCAGTTGTTTTCTGAGAAGCCTCAGGTAGTATCTCTGCTGGGCCCTTTTGACCAGGGCTGCAATGTGGGCACCCCAGGTCAGGTCCTCTTTTAGGGTAACACCCAGAAACTTAAAACTGGCCACTTGCTCCACTCGGTCTCCATTCATAAGCAAGGGCTGGATGTCTGATCTGTTCCTTCTATAGTCCACTATAAGCTCCTTGGTCTTATTGATGTTGAGGACCAAGTTATTGACTCCATACCACGAAAGCAACTGCTCCACCTGTCTCAGTAGGCAGATGCATCCCTCCCCCCTCAGATAAGTCCCACCACCTTCGAAAGTTCTTAAATTATGCATTCTCAAGTATCTCTCGTTTCCAGCGCAAATAGAAATTTTGAAAGATATCCTGTTTGGGTATCAAGGGTAGGGAAACTTGGCTCTTCTATCACTTATGGACTTCAACTCCCAGAATTCCCGAATGAGCCATAAAAGGTTCCCCATCCCTGCCCTACTGGTTTTTCAGTTGTGGGGGAAATCAATTTTTGACCTGAATGGGACTGTTGAATATACAAACATATAAAGGTATGGGGAACCAGTAGGCCAGGGATGGGGAACCTTTTATGGCTCACTCAGGAATTCTGGGAGTTGAAGTCCATAAGTGATAGAAGAGCCAAGTTTCCCTACCCATTGATTAGCAATCCGCGTGAAAAAAAACACCGTTTTTCTTTCGTTCGTTTATTTTTAACGTACGCCCCCACCACCACCACCACACACACACCCTCAAAACTCCGCTTAACTTTAAGGCCTCAGTGTATTCAACATCCGGACCTGCCTCAACTTTTATTACGCTCACAAAGCACTGCGTTTATCTTGCGTTGGCGGGTCAGCCCTTTGCGGTATTCCCGGTGTGGTTCGCCAAGCGCCATCGCTCCTAATTCGCACGCCTCATCCCCCGACCCTCCCCCCGCCCCCACCCCGCAGCAGCAGCCTCCGCCGCACGCCGAAGCGGACGGGCTCCTCCTCCGGACCGAACTCGGCCGCAACTCCACCCCTTCGACCTCCGTCGGTAGCGGAAGCTGCGCGTTTTGGAGGCGCAAAGCCCTCGGAGGAGCGGCGGCAGAGATGGAGTGCGTCCGGCTTTTGAGACAGAGGCTGCGGCCTGGCCTGCACGGTTTCTTTGGCAGGCGGCTTTGCTGCAGCTGCAGCCGCCGCTACGGTCCGCTCCTGGGAGGGAGCTGGTGGCGCTGTCCAAGTGGGGCGCCGCTGGGGTGCGGATCCGAAAAATGCCGGTGGCGCCGAAGTGGTGGACAGACCTTAATTTGCGCATGTAAGTCGTGCCCGCAGGCGTCGTTGTGTTTGTCCGCACTGCCTTTGTGGGGAATAAATCACACGGGGTTTTCTTCTCTGGAACAGAGGCGCAGAGCGTTGCTGCCTGTAAGTCCTATGAACTCCGGCAGAAATCTCTGCATCCGGGTATGAATAAGAATTGAACCATTGGGTATCCTGGACGGATATCCTCAAACTGCTCCGAAGTTCCCCAGTGAGGATAAAAACGGGTCTACAACTTTGCATCTTGAGGCGTTGGGCTTTTCCGCACAGATCAACTCGCCTAAACTTACCCGTTGTCAGAAAAAAAAAAAAGTTTAATGAGTATGGTACAGGTAATCTTCAACTTACAACCACATCCTGAGCCCCAAATTTATGTTGTTCAGTGAGACATTTTTAAGCGAGTTTTGTCCCGTTTTACAACCTTTCTTGCCAGAGTTGTTAAGGGGATCACTGAAGTTGATAACCTGGTTGTTAAGTGAATCTGGTTTCCCCATTGACTTTACTTGCCAAAAGGTTGCAAAAGCTGACCACGTGACCTTGGGACACAGCAGTGGCCCTAAATATGAACCAATTGCCAAGCATCTGGACATCTGCAACTAGTATCTAGATGATCTTCATTATTGAGCAGAAAGCACCAAACAGCTTGTTTAACCTTGACACATGAAATGTCCATCAAGTCTCATAGTGCAGCCTCTTCCAATTATTATTTTTTAACTACCTAAGAAAATTCCATTGAGCATGCATCATTTTTAAGATATGTCCAGTGTCTTTTTTTTCCAAAGTTGTTATTGGCCCTGCAGGAGGCATGGAAGATAGAGAAACCTGTGTTTTTCCATTGCAGAGTTCATAACAGCCTGGATGCAGAAGAGCCAACAAGATAATATCTGCCTAATGTTGCTGCTCTACTCAGAATCTAACAAGAAAATGCATGTTGTATGTGTGTCCAACTGTTTCAAACTGAGAAGTTTCGGATTATTTGTGTCTTGTATACATTGCTTAAAAGTACTTCCTTGGAATGCCTTTCTTATCCTGCCTAAATTTTTTCCAAGGGATATATTGTAATCATATTTTACTTTTACTACCACTCCTATTTTGAGCATTCAGAACAAATTGTGTAAATTTTAGGGATTTATGATATTCCTGTAATATAAATACTACCCATTTGCTTTACAAAACTGAATAAATTAAGCAAGAATGGATGGTTACCAACAACATTCAAAGTAAATAGTTAAATATTCCAATAGAAGACAATAGATGTTATTCAGAGTCTGAAGATTCTCACTCATACAGGTTGTGTTTGTCCCAAAGGTGTTTTTGCACTTCACACCTCAGTTGCCTCCTAAAATAGCATCTTTTGGCTGTTACTCAGGCTTGAACTGTGGGCTCCATGGTGCTGTCTGAGCTTGGTAATGTACAGATGGTCATTTGCAAGCAAACAGCTAAGCTCAGAGAACCGTGTATTGTACTAATGTTAATTTAGAAGTCAGGTTGAAACCTTTAGCATATAAATAATGCTTTAATAATATACTAAATTTAAATGCCACTTGATTCTCAGCAACTCTAGATAGTTTACAGTTGCTTAAGAGCAAAAAGCAAAACACCGATACAACACAAAGCAAAAGAACAATGACAAAAAAAAACAAATTGAGAGAGGCACAAACACACACACACACACACACACACACACACACACACACACACACACGACAGAGACATTAGTCAGCCTAGCCAAAGGCTTGGGCAAAGAGTCAGATCTTTGGTAGTCTTTGAAATATCAGTAGAGTTGGGGTGGAACTTCATTCCAGAGGGCAACTACAGAAATGTTTCCAGAGCCTAGGCAGATGGCATTGTTTAATCAATGGAATGTGGAGTGCACCAGTCCTACCAGATCAAGCCGGCTGTACAAAAACAGTGGGATATTCTATAACTCCCATTGTTTCTTTACTTCTTAACTTTCAAGAATTCCAATTAAGTCGAGAGGTTTACATGCAACCAAGTAGAGGTTCTATTTTGACCTTAAAATGAATATCAAGATCAGGAGGATAAAGGGTGGCAGGCTCTCTTCTCCCATTCTGGGATGAAATTTTGAATTAAAATTGCCATCACAGGCTGAATGCTACATTATCCTGCTTTTTCAGCATGCATTTCCATCAAAATGACACATGTACAGAAAATGCAAATAAAGGGCTTTGCCCCAATTGTAATAGTCTCATGTCTCTTGGGAACAGAAGGGGCTCTGTCCCCATCATCTCATTGCCAATCAAAGAATGAAACAGGCTTGAGTCCTGGACTTAAAATAGTGTCCCCCACCCCAAATACATGTCTTGTTTTGGCATTATCTTAGGAAAAACTAAGATATGTAAAACCTAGTGTTTATCAGGCATTACGCTGGAGGAAAGTACAGCAAGGGTCTTCAAACTTGGCAAGTTTAAGACTTGTGGACTTCAACTCCAGAATTCCTGAGCTAACATGACTGGAAGAGGAAGTCTGGGAGTTGAAGTCCACAAATCTTAAAGCTATCAAGTTTGAAGACCCTTGGTTTAACAGTGATTAGAACAGGACAGTAGACACAATTCAGATTGACCACAGACCTCATGCCAGTTCATTTTAATGCTGCCTTAAAGATGAATGAGCTCTTCAGCTTTTAATGCAGCAAGGCCTGTCATCCATGTTCAGTAGAAATTATATATGTTGATGTGTATAAATTATTATGATTTCTCATATCATTCCTTTGGCTTAAACAAAGCATTAGAAATTTGCTGTAATATAAGGAGCTCATTTTCTTACCTTACCTCAATCACTAGACAGTTTGAGGGCACTTTTGAAGATAACATACCTTGAAGAGAAGGATACCTTTGTACGTACAAATATTTCTTGTCCTCCTCTGTTGTCTTCTTGAGGAATTCATTAGAAATCACCAAACTCTTTTACTTTCTGAGAGCTACCTAATCTAATTTGTCATCAAGACCTGTGAAAGTTTTGATCAGTAATAGATTTGTAAGCTAAGGGGGCTAATATTGCACAATTGTTGATTGTGCCGAAAATAGATCATCTGTATTCTGTGACACAGAGTTGGATAACAGAGTTGGAAGGGAGATAATCGGGGATTACCACGTATGTAGCCCAAACTGAGAATTTAAAAAACATCTCAGAAGACCATGTCCATCACTTCTATCTTGTTTTCAATAAAACACTGCTTTGTGTCTGTAATGTAACCAGGAATTGAGCTGATTTTTTAAAAACGTTTTATTCTATGACATCTTTTCTCAAGGTAGGTGGTATTTATTACTGAACAACTTTCCTGCTGATTCTTCACATTATCTTACTCTTTATTAATAGCGTTTCTCCTCTGCTTCTCTTTAGATGCTCTTTCTCAGCACAGCAGCACAGAGGTGACTCAGGCTACTTTAGCCAGTGTGGCACCAGTATTTTCAGTGGTAAGTATTCCTTTGCAAGGCCATGATGTAGAAAAGCATAGATGAAGGATAACTCATGGGAATAGAGATGAAAAATGACAGGTGAAATGTAGGGTTCATTTACAGTGTTGGATTGCTGGCAGAGTAGAAAAGAAATAAGAAATAAAATACTGTAAAAATTGGAAGGGCTAAAAATAAATCGTCTGGCATTGGGCCACTAAATAGAAGAAAGCATGTATGCATCAATTGTCAATAAATGAATTGAGAGACAGATCTAAACATTCATTCTTTCCCAGTCATGACTTTTAGATAATCTCTGCTGGCTACGGAATATGGGAGCTGAAGTCCAATCCCGCCAGAGATACTTCGAGGTCTATCATTTTAGAATTAAACTGTGATAAAACTTTCACACAATTGACTTATAACCATTATGTTGGTTCTGTTTGGACATCTCAGTTTATAAAATATTGTCCACATCTACCCTTCTAACCCATAGCAGAAAACAGTGCATTTTTCAAAGCACTCTTCATTATGTGAATTGTATTGCCCTATTATTGACTGTATAAAATTCAATAAAAATCTATCTTAATTATACCTGATACTTATGAATAGTGGAAATGCTACCCATATTAAATAGGACAAATTGTATTTAATTTCAGAAAGTGCTATTGTCTTGTTTAAAAATTTTCTGTTTTCTTCCTTTTAGATGAAATTTGATAAAGAAGGCAATGTTACCTCCTATGGTATGTTTAATTCTTTTTGACTCATGAATTCAGTAATAATATTTTACAGCCATGTTAGAATTTTTAAATAGATAATTGCAACATTAATAGTTTTTGGCAGTTTATCATTAAATCTGTTAAATTTCAGATAATTATTGGATTTGTTGAAGTGATAACTTTGAGAAATAAGCTGTTTGTCCCAAGTGGTCTACATTTTCATTTCATATTTCTATACTTTCTTTTTGGGGCAGAAAGAAAGAAAACAGAATTGTATCAGGAACTAAGTCTTCAAGCACGAGATCTACGGTTTCAACATCAAGTAAATATAACACCCAGGAATAACAAGATTATTATGAGAATGGAGGTAAGAAAAATATATGAAAACAGCTTTTAGTTATTTGGAAAACTTCTGAAATTTTTACACATGGCAAATTGAAGTAACATATTTCTTTTCCTTTATTTACTGATAAGCAAAATATTGTTTGCCTCCTCCTCCCTGAAGTCTTCCAATATAATCAGTAAAAGGAGTTACTGCCTTTTTGTTTGTGTAGTACCAGTGTTTCAGAAAAGATTGGAATGAGGTGAGGTGAAGCAAGCTCAGGAGCCAATTCTTAAAGTTGAATTGTACCATTTAAAAGGCCAAAACATGATGGAAATGGGAGAGAAAGAGCACAGTAGAGAGGAGTTGATACAAAATCTCTAAATTGTGTCAAAGAGACCTAGGCTCATATTTTTATTTTATCAAGAAGCCCGGTAGAAAATCTTTTCGCCTAATCTACTACAGAGAATATGTGATAGGACAGTGATGGCGAAGCTTTTGGGCCCCGAGTGCCCAAAGCGTGCACACATGCATACCCCCAAAACAAGCCCCCCTTGCACATGCATGTGCTTCCCCGTGCATGCACATGTGCCCCCACATGCACCCCATCCCTGAGCATGCGTGAGAGAGACCTGAAGGCCAGCTGGCCAGCGGGAGGCACTTGCGCATGCCTGGTGGAGCTGAGCTGGGGCAACGGGGCGCGTGCCCACAGAGGGGGCTCTACGTGCCACCTGTGGCATGTGTGCCATAGGTTCACCACCATAGTGACAGACAACTTGGGGGGAAAGGTGGAATCAGTACAATAAAAAAGAGCAACTAAGGTTGAATGAGCAAAACACACAAAAAGTAGAAACAAAAAAATAAAAATAGGAGACAGTTTGAAATTCAGGACTGTGCCAATAAAGAAAACAACTCATATAAAGCACCACCACTGAAACAGCTAAGAATTTTACATCTGTTTGCTTTGGAGGAAATCATCTTGCAATCCGTAAATCTGAGTAATCAGACATAGTCAAGAAATCCTAATTGTTTTTTTTTTAAAGATTTTCCATCTTATAACAAACAACCCAAAGGATATGTTAGACAAGTCTGTTTGGGCATGTAATTAGACAGTATTAGTGTAACAACTGAAGAAAACATAAGTATTGAGTGTTGGCTAATTTTCTTCTCTGCTTTTTTTAGTTTTTGAAGGCTGTGATAACACCAGAGTATCTTCTAATCCTAGACTATCGCAATACAAATCTGGAAAAATGGCTGTTCCAAGAACTGGCATCTCAGCTAGCTGGAGAAGGTCAACTAGTTACATATTCTTTGCCTTTTGAATTCAGAGCTATAGAAGCAATGCTGCAGTACTGGGTGAGCATACTTATGTTGTGCTAAGGGTGATTGTTGTGGACTTTCCCAAACTGGAGCTCTCTGGACATGGTGAACTCCAAATTCCCAAGAGATCCGAGACTTTTAAGTCCAACATTTATGACAGATGGATAACAGATAACCAGAGTTGGAAGGGACCTTGTAGGTCATCTAGTCCAACCCCCTGCCCAAGCAGGAGACCCTACACAATTTCTGACAGATGGCAGTCCAGTTTCTTCTTGCAAGTCTCAAGTGATGGCGCTCCCACAACTTCCAAGGGCAGGTTGTTACATTGGTTGATTCTTCTCACTGTCAGAAAGTTTCTCCTTATTTTCAGGTTAAATCTCTTCTTGTTCAGTTTCCATCCATTATTCCTTGTCTGGCCTTCAGGTGCTTTAGAAAATAGCTTGTGGCAGCCCCTCAAATATAGGAAGACTGCTATTATGTGTCCTCTGGTCCTTCTCTTCACAAGACTAGCCATGCCCAATTCCTGTAACCATTCTTTGTATGTTTTAGTCTCCAGTCTCCTAATCATCCTGGTTGCTCTTCTCTGTACTTATTCTAGAGTCTCAACATCTTTTTATAGTGTGGTGACTAAAACTGGATGCAGTACTCTGGGTGTGGTCTTACTAAGGCTTTATAGAGTAGTATTAGTACCTCCCTTGATCTTGATTGTATCTCTCTGTTAATGCAACTTAGGTTTGCATTAGCTTTTTTGGCAGCCGCTGCACACTGCTAGCTCATATTTAGCTGGTTGTCCACTAAGACTCCAAGATCCCTCTCACATCTACTGCTATTGAGCCTGGTTTCACCCAGGCTATATGGGTACTTTTGGTTTTTCTTGCCTAAGTGTAAGACTTTACTTTTCTCTACACTGAATTTCATTTTGTGAGATACGGCCCAGTGTTCTAGTCTGTCAAGATCCATCTGGATCTTGAGCCTGTCTTCTTGGGTGTTAGCTATTCCTGCCAGCTCAGTATCATCTGCAAATTTGGTAAGTTCCCCTTCTGCTCCTTCATCTAAGATGTTAATAAAGATACTGAAGAGTACTGGACCTAAGATGGCAGTACATTGGGTCGAGAACATTATAATCATTGGTTGAAGGAGACAGATAAATATAGATAGTCCTCGACTTACGGCCACAATTGAACCCCAAGTTTCCATTACTAAGCGAGACAGTTGTTAAGTGAGCTTTGCCCCTATTTATGACCTTTCTTGCCACAGTTATTAAGTGAATCACTGTGCTTGCTTAAGTTAGGAACACAGCTGAAAAGTGAATCTGACTTCCCCATTGACTTTGCTTGTCAGAAAGTTATAAAAGGCGATTAGATAACCCGGAGACACTGCAACTCTCATAAATATGAGTCAGTTGCCAAGCATCCGAATGTTGCTTTCATGGCCATGGGGATGTTGCAATGGCCGTAAGTGTGAAAAACAGTCATAAGTCACTTCTTTTAGCAATGTTACAACTTCAGATGGTCACTAAATGAATAGTTATAAGTTGAGGACTACTTGTATGAGATGGCTAAAAGGCAGTCCTTTTCTGTGACTTTAAATGGCCATCCTTATTAATTTATTCTGTACTTAAAAATGGTGTTTCTGAGCTAGTTTCCTGACAACTTTTGTAATTAGTAGAAAGCAAAAAAATAGTTTAAAAAAATCAAAGGAAATTGTGAGATCCCTACAAGGAAAGAGAAAAGGGCTGACCTGACCACCAGTGAAGATATTCTGGATTTCAATTTTTTTTAAAAAAAATGTATTTAATGTAGTGTAATAACTGGCCTGATTCAGAAGCAGTTTTGAGCGCAAATATTTACTTTCAAATATTTATATACTGCATGTTATTACATACATATCCAATACAATAGCATAATAACATTAAATTAACTATTTAAATCAGTGGCAATGAGAAATAAAATAATAAAAGGTTTTACCCAGCTTCAGTATACAATAAGATTGCTTTAGGTTTATTTCCAGTGAAAGGGTGTTCTGCATATGTTTCAGCCTGCATTACCAACTTTGCCATAAGTTCAAGATTTTATGTCTGTTTTGCTGGACAAAAGGATTTTTTAGAAGGCATTCTAAAAGAATTATTTTAATTCTTATGAAGGATCATGTTGTTATCTAGATCAGCTACCTGAGTGGCAAACTTAGCCATCTGCAGCCTCAAATTCTTGAAACTCTGGATGCTTTAGTGGATCCTAAGCTTTTGTCCCTGGATAGGAGTAAAGTCCATATTTTACTGCAAAATGGAAAGAGGTAAGCAAGCGTACTTCACACTCTCTTCAGTTACCTTGAAGTAAGTTATAGTAAGCCATTTTCTTGAATCATATAACAGCTTACACCACGTATTACAACAAATTGCTTAAATCAAATATTAGGCAGGGGATAAAAGCACTGGTTGTTGTCTTGAATGCTGAATTGATTTGTTCAGTTCTACTTGATGCAGTGAATCTTTTTGATTTAACAGTTTAATATCACATGGTTGTGGAAATAAGACAATATAAACTATTACTGAAACAGATGAACTGTTTGAGCCTGATATAAAAACAAAACTAAATTTCTGTTTCAATTGTATATTACGAATCTGTTTGAGTGACAAAGAGAAAATGTTTTAGTGCCTTTGAAAACTATTACCAATAGAAGAAAATCAAATAATAGTCATTTTTAAAAGTCTTGGTTAATAGGTCAATTTGAAAGTGGTACATTCATGTATTATATAAATATTAATATAATAGTTGCATAGCTATTACCACTTAACCTTTTCTGCTACATTAGAGGGGTAGCTAGATTCTTATAAATCCCAGCTGCTCCATAAAGGGAAAATGTCTTTCAAGTATCAGGTCCCAACTTCATTACATATTACATGAAAGATATTTTTGTATCTGTTAAACCAGATGACATATTCTTATTTCAATGGCTTCATATAACACGAAGCTGCTGTAAATGTTTATGGATACTGAGCATACTTTTAAGCATAAACCACCCACATTATTGCTCAGCTGTGGAGAGATTTCATGAATGATTCGCACTTTGGATTTTGACTTGACCCAGAAGGAAGTCTTTAACAGCAAGCTCATGTGTACAACAGATCTTCAGAGAAATATTGGTTAATTTGAGAAACATGGTATGTTTTGTGATGGGTCTCGTATGCTTTTATTTTTCAGTTTGTCTGAATTAGAAACTGACCTTAAAGTTTTCAAAGAGACGATATTGGAAATCCTAGATGACAAAGAAGTCATGGAAGAACTGTGTCTAACTAAATGGACAGACCCAGAAGTATTGTAAGTATAAGTTGTAAAGGAATGTTTTTGGTAGTCCAAATTTCACTTCAAAGTTTTAGAGAAGGAAGAAACATAAGTTCCATTATTTTTTTAAACTGGTTAAGTTTCCAAATGCCTTAATGCATTTGACAAATGCATTTTATTGGGCTCTCATCAAAATCTGTTTGATTTATCTACTTACAATAGAATTCTGTCACATGGTGTATTTCAGTCAAAATTAGATTTGGTTGCATTATTTTTTTAATGATTTTCTTGAGTTCAAATGGAATATAAATAAAAAGCAGAACCCTGAGTACCATTCAGATAATTCACCCCGGACTATGTAATAAAAAAGACTGAATGCTGTAAAACTAGCAAGTCATAAAGTCAGAAGAAAAATGAAGTAAAAAAAAATTAAAAGATGAGAAAATATATGGGCAATAAAATCAAATAATATAGTAGTGGCAAATGCTATCTATTTTTCTGCAACCTCAAATTCTAAATTTTAATGCAAAATGTTGCAGATCAGTTTTAGACTTAGATAAATCAAGGTCACGTGGAATCATTTTGTACCCTCTTCCTGTTCTGTTGGTAAAAAGCTAATTCAGCTTAATGAAAGCTGATTTCACTGATTTCAGCCTTTAGAGCAGGCTCGTGGGCCATGGGCCACATGCAGCCCTGGAGTAATGCAGCTTCACAAGATATAATTTAAAATATTTTTGAAAAAGGAAGTTTGCTATTTATATACATATGCTATATATTTTATTTGTGACCCAAGACAATATATTTTATTTGTGACCCTCTTCATTCAGTGAGGCCCAAGCAGGCCAAAAGGTTGGACACACCTGGTTTAGAATCTGAAACCTGAATTTCCCAAATTGCATAGTTACTGTTTTTAATTCTAATCCAGGCATAATATAATCCAAACCTCCTCAGGAGTAGATAAATTCTATGTTTAGGGAATATACTGAACAAAACATTAACATCTTTAAACCTTAATTTCTAAAATATTGGTTCAGCATTGTATTAATATGTATTAACTGGAGAATGTGGCTAAGTCGTGTGTGCTAGGCTGGCTTCCAGTTTATTTAAACTCCTACGTAGGATGACAGCCTGCCCTTTCTAAATATCTGTTGGAAAACCCAATAAACCCTAAAGGATTTTGTTTGTAATTGGCCTAGTTTTCAAATCAAACAAAACATTTGTTGTTCCTTCCTACGTAGACTACCACAATCTCCACGGATACAGGAAAAAAATAAACAATATACAATAAATTAGTGTTAGTCAATCTTTGGTAATTCTTAATGCGTGGACGTCATCTCCCAGAAATCTGGGAGTTGACATCCATGTATCTTAAATTTGCAAAACACTGCAGTAGATAAAAATGAAAGGTCTAGCAACTAATGAAAATATAAAATAATATTAACCAGAATATAACCAAATTAAGATGGAATCAAAGTCAAAATTAGCTCTGAAGTATTCTGTTCTGAGCAGCTTAACAAGTTAGGATAGGAGCCAGCTGGAGATATGCCTGAAGCCATTCCAAAGAACTGATACAGCTTCAGAAAAGCAATTCTGTTGAGTTCGGGCTCCTTCCGTTTGCTAAAGTAAGAGCACTGCTAATAAACTTTCCCAGTGAAATCAAAATGGCCAGGCCAATTCCATTGGCAAAAATTAGATCCAGCAGATAACTTGAAGCCTAGATAACTTGTAGGGCTTAAAGATTAATTCCAGGACTTGAAACACTGCACCAGGAAGCCTGTTAGAAACCAGTGCAGGGCCCACAGTACTGGTGTAATGAGCTCCCACCAATGAATAGCAATGAGCACATGAATTGCTGCGCTTCTGGATCAGCTGCAGATTTAAAACAATCTTCAAAGGCAGTCCCATGCAAAACATGTTGTAATAGTCTAAGTCAGGTTGATAAGGATATGAATCATTGTAGCAAAACATAATGCTTTCGTTGCCATTGAAACCACCATTTTCATATAAAAACTATCATTTTACAAAAAAATCCTGAGTCTTTTTCCATCCATTAAAAATTATTAATTTGTCAATTTGTTTAAAATATATAAATGGAATTAACACAAATACTCGCAAAATGTGTTTAAGCCATGAAGCTATATTCATTTCATACATTCTTCTCCACAAAGTCATAGGATATTTTAACCCCTCTCTTAATATCCTCTTTTATTTGAGCTGTACAATATGAGATAATCATTTCATACATAACAAGATTTTCTCAAGATCAAAGCAATAAAGAAGTCAGAGTTTTGTTTTTCCTAATTGTAGCTACCTTATCACCACTACACATGTTATTAAATTTATTCCAATATAGTACTGTATATACACAACATTTACCACATTATTGTACCATTTCTACACTTTTAGTTAAAGATATGTTTATCCATTTATCTTCTTTATTTTCTGGGTAGAGATAATCTATAATCATTAAAAAAGCCCAAGGTAAGTTTGGTTACAAGCTTGTATTCCACATGGATTATTAATAAGGGCATTCTAGTTTGAAAAACCCACTTTAAAAATATTTTGAAATATAAAACCCACAGAATAACAACAGAATATGATCTCTCCGGTAAACAGGTTAATCAGGAGTTTGTTAGATTTCTCTGTAATAAGTACATAGTATTTCATTGCCTGGATAGGAAAAAAAATCTGCACTAACTAAAACCTCAATTTGAATATGCTTAGAGGCAGATGAATGGCAGTGTTGCCAATCCAATGTACAACTAAAGAGTCTTCCTAATTGCGAAATACTCTTAATACTACATTCATACTAGATGTCATTCAAGTGATAGTGATCCTCAGATTTTAAATGCTGCTAGAAAGAACTGGAAAAAAACTGAATTTTCATTTACTATTGTAATGCCATATACTATCACCATGGTTTCTGTTTGCAATGGGTCTTATGGTTATTGTTCACAGTGAGGCAAGTCTTTCTGGAATTGACCATGTGGAGGAGATGGAACTGCTGTTGGAAAATTACTATAGGCAGGCAGAAGATCTTATGAATGAAACCCGGGAACTTAAAATACTGATTGATGATTCTGAAAGTATCATCTTTATCAACTTAGACAGGTAGCTGTGTGGAGCATATTGTTAAAATTTAACATGCACTTTTAAAAACTCATTTGACATTTAGATTAAAAAATAGTTGTGTTTATAAAGCTCTTTCTCAGATGAAATGAATAAATTTATTTTGTATGCCTCTGAATTATTTGGTAATTTTAATAAATTATGTTACTATGCACATTCCATTACCAGTGCTAACTTGACAAAGCTTGTTTTGGTTTTGAATTAAGCTAATGGTCCTACAGATGGACTGATAGATTTCTGTCAATAATGAAATCAACCTAACTATAAGCTATTCTGGCTACATAAACAGTCCCTAACATTTGTAACTGTAGAAAACTTTGTAGGCAAGTTAACCAGCATGTATGTCATGTGGGGAACAGATCTTCTTCCCAGCAATTGGAAGATCAGCTGGAGACAACAGGGCCAGCAAAATGCAGGGTGGCCAAAAGGGCAAGATAGGGCCTTCTGGGATAGTATTTTTCAAACTTGGCCATTTTAAGATGTGTGGACTGAGGACCTCTGGGAATTAAGGGCCATACATTCTTAAAGATGCCAAGCTTAAAAAACTCTGTTCTAGAGCAACAGTAGCATTAAGTGGATGGTACCATAGGTTGGGCTAAACTGTGTAAATGGTAGTGACTAGTGGTATATTTTAAAAAAATGGTTGTAAACTGGGTTGCTACTCCTAGAAGCAAGTATGAAAGAGCGTCTTCTCTAAAGTTGTTTAAATCTCTAAAGCAAATGTAACTGTCATATTTAATCCTTCAATTTAACAGAGTTATATTTTATCTTTTTAGCCACCGTAATGTTATGATGAGGTTGAACTTGCAGCTGACCATGGGTACTTTTTCAATCTCGCTTTTTGGATTGATAGGAGTAGCATTTGGTATGAATTTGGAATCATCATTTGAAGAGGTAAGAAACAATACTTGAAAACAACATTTCTAGATATTTTTGTAAAATATTCCAGTAAAGCCACAAAGACTGCTTTTAATTACATTGTTGCATTAACTGGCTATTAGAACTTGACAATAGAATATTTGTTGTTTCATAAATATCACAAGAGCATTGTTTCAGACTATTTATGGTTTACTTTTTTCTTTTTGGGATGAATAGCAGCCTTGCTTGTTTTATGTCAGGTTAGATCAAAAGGCTGGGAATTCAACTTGCTGAAAGCTTCACTAGTGATCATAACCATATCTGAACAAAAGCTGTCTTCTTTAGCCAGTCCTCTTTAAAGGGCAGAAAAAGTTTCTGCAAGATCCAATGGAGTAAATGGGGGGGAAAAAAGGAAGCTTAAAGCCATTGTCTTTCTTCAATGAACCCCAATGGAAAGAAAAGCATCCATTGTGTATACCTGGATCTGTTCACTTTCCATGTCATTTCCACAGGACTGATATATAATGCTACTCCTGGATAAATAAATCTGATATCCGCAGTTAAGAGTCATTTTTAAAAATGTAGTAACATTTAAAAACTAATGAGTAATCTGAGGTGGGAATCATTCATTGTGTGCTCTTACCATATTAGAACCATGGAATGTTTTGGCTGGTGACAGGAATTATGTTCCTAGGCAGTGGCTTAATTTGGCGGCGCCTGCTTACATTTCTTGGGCGGCATCTAGAACCGTCAATGCTTCCACCAGTAAGTATTCTTTCACTTACTACTGCATTAAGCTACCTCATTCCTCCCCAACATTGTAGACCTTAATTCTCATATGCAGGTATATCGGGAATAAAACTGTCAACAAAACTCAGTTTGAATCATGAGTATTGTATAATGCTTTTCTATCTACTATATCAGATTCTTGTCTTCCTATAACTTCAGGGTGTGATTCCTTGTTCTACATTCTGGGATTACAGAGGACAACTGCGATCTGATTTTTTTGCAGAGACCTGAGAACCATTCTTTTGTATCTGTTGTATGGAAGAGGCTTAGTTTGCCATATATCTTGCTGGAGTTTTTAATTTTTAATTCATGAGATCCAGTATTCTGTAGTGGCTAAGATACTGGACTAGCACTAAGGAGACCCAGATTTAAATCCACCTAGCCATAAAAGCCTGTTGAGTGATTTTGGCCCGGTCACTCTGTTACAACTTCACCTATCTCGTGGGGTTGTTATGGGGGGAAAATGAGAGGAGGGAATATACTACCTTGAGTTCATGAATAAAAGGTGGTACATCAATAAAACAAACAGGACAATGAATTATTGTATATTTCTAGTTCTCTCCTCTGCAAGTGATGTTAATCTACAAGCTTTATTCAGATCCTTATTTCTATCGCTTAGCTTTTTGTTCTTGATAATGCTTGCATATTGAAGATTAAAAATTTATTTTGTATATGCATATTCTTTACAGGATGGCTTTGCTGCTGTGTCTGCCTTAAATTGTGTCTTCCTGCTGTGATCATAGCATCATTTACCCTCCGAGACAAGGCATCCTAATTTCAGGCAGAATTCTTAATAACCTGCCAGAATGAACTTCTGCTTTCTGGCAGGCTTTTGAAGGGAGGCTCCAATTTTAAAAACTCAGATGTAGTCCTTTAAGAACTTATTCTGCTTAACAGTGATTATACATGGCTTAGCAGAGATGCACACAATTGATAAACCTCCATTTGATTCTGAGAGCATATTTTAGGTATACATAGTTGTCAACTAAGGGACAAGCCAGATTTCCCCTTTGCACCTTAATTGGATATGACTTCAGTCTTTGTTCTATTAGATTTAGAGTTTGACATATTTTAAGCAAGTAATGGCTATATGCTGCCAATGCTCATAAGCAGAAGAACAGTATAGATCTGGAGTGTCCACCTTGGCAACTTTAAAACCTCTGGACTTCAACTCCCAGAATTCCCCAGTCAGCTGGCTAGGGAATTCTGGGAGTTGAAGTCCACAAAATTAAAATTAAAATTGGCCCTGGTATAATGAACCAGCCCATTCTACACATGAGGTTGAAAGAGGTAAATGTGGCTGTGCCAGTTAACTAGTGCAAGCAACCTTCCTTTTGCTTACTTCCTTTTGCACAACACTAACTTCCTCACCAGTTTTCACAATCCTCATTCTGTTATCTTTTCCTATAGATGCCGGCTTTATTGAAAAAAACGCAGTCAGCCAATGGAAAAGTAGAGTTTAAGAATGTTTTCAAAACAGAAACCTTTGAATCAAGCAGAAGTACAATGACCAGCCAATGACAGGAATACTCCAGGATAACTTGAACTTGAGACTATCATCCTGGATTTACTTTTTCCAAAAAATGTAGCAGCCTTTACCATTTGACTGTGTTATATCCCAAAAATAAGAAGTTAAAAATCTTCAGTTCTTGAGGGAAGACTTCAGAGTTTTGAATACCCCAGTAGAAAATTTAAATCATGTAAATGTTAAAAACATCCCCTTTTTTCCTTTAACTAATGCCTTCTGTGGGAATTCTGGTAAAGTTTAACTTTTTGCCAATATAAGAAAACCGTGTCCTCCCTAATAATAGTGTCACACATGTTCCTTCATAGGTATAGTTCATAAAAGGCAAAAAATATTGTCTAAATTATTTCTAAAGAGAGAGATATATTTATGTAAAAATAGTGTTATCTCTGATAACAAATTCTTTTTTGAACACAATATACTGTTATGTTAATTTTATGTTCTATTGTTTAGATTCAGAATTTTGTAAAGATACTGCTTTATTGCTATTTCTTCAAGTTACTGGATTCCAAAAGTTTTATATTCCTGTCATAATTACCAAAAATAGAGTTACTAGTACTGTTTTAGGAGAAAGCTCCCCCTTTTAAAGGAGGCTTCGTTTGTGAAGTTCGTGGAACCTCCTTAAAAAGGAGCGTATGAGAAAAGTACTACTTGCTTGTAGAAGGTTGCCATGAGGCAGGCAGCCTTTGTCAGAAAGCTGAGGTTCACATTGCATCACATCAGCCGGGCTCTTCTGCAAAAACAGAAAGGTAATTTGGGTGCTGCTGAACCCTGGAGAAGAGAGAGGAGCAGGCCGAGTCCTGCAAGTCCCTTGGGTGGCCAGATGGGAAGTAGGCCTTGGCTTACAGGCTGAAATTGCCGTATCACTTCTACAGACCATCTTTAGGCTCCTTTGCATAGCTTCAAAGAGCCACTTGGAAGCAGGCCGATGCCTGGAGAAATTCCAAGGGTCAGGCCCTTGGGTGGCTGGATGGGAAGTAGGCCTCGGCCTAGAGCAAAGATGGGCAATTAATTTTCCCAAAGGATCACGTGAGAAACGGACTCTTGTGGAGAGGTGTTGCTGTACCTGTCAACACCGTTGCTGCCACTGCCCCAACACCACCGCCACACTGATAACTTTTCCCCAACGTGGGGCAGATGGGTTGTAAATTGCCCATGTCTGGCCTAGAGACTGTAACTGCCTGGATGTGCCAGTCACTTCTGACCAGTGTTAGGCTCCCTTGCATGGCTGAATAAGCCAGCTTGGAAGCATGTAATGGCCTACAGGAATATTGAGGGGAAGGGAGCAGAGTACTGAGTGCCTCAGGGGTGAGGGAGGCCCTGCTAGGCCTGTGGTAGGTGGCCCTGGGCCTATGTTAGGCCACCAAGCGCTTTCCAGATTCCTGGGGCACCCCATGCTCCTCTTAACAACCTGCACATTCATTTAATGATTGCGTTGGGGAGAGCAGTAATAGGGTTTGTTAAGTGAGACACTCAGTGGTTGTCATGACATGCCACCATGATGGGCAGGTTCCATTATGGTAGTAAGTCAAGAGTTACCTGAACTTTTATCTCAGTGTAGCATCAGACTCATGACAGTAATTGTAAAATGAAGTCAGAGCTATGACTTTATTCAGAGTGGTTCCAAAATGCTACTCAGAAAAACAGTACTTAACTGCTTGTACTGCATCAAAGGCAAACTAATAAATATTTCAGTCAACTATCTAGATCGTTTAACTTAATATAGTACATTAATTAATTATCCTAAATAGTATCAAGAAAATCTGATTCGTGGTAGACAAAATTGGGAATGAGTTGGAGTACAAGAAGCTGTAATAGTATTAGCTCAGGTTTTTCACCTCTAACAAGATTCAATCTGGGTTGATCACCAGGACTAGAAGTTTAGATTTCCAAACTTTTGGAATCGTTCTGAACCCTATCTTCTGTTCACCAGAAATAGGGTCCAGAATGGTTTCAAAAGCTGGGAAAACTAAGCCTTTAGTAACCAACCCACATTGGATGTGACAACATTATCCTTGGACGTGTATTTTTATCTTCACTTATTGGGACGCAGTGGCTAAGATGCTGAGCTTGTCGATCAGAAAGCCCAGTGGTTCAGCGGTTCAAATCCCGAGCACCACATAATAGAGTGAGCTCCCGTTACTTGTTCCAGTTTCTGCCAACCTAGCAGTTCGAAAGCATGTAAAAATGCAAGTAGAAAAATAGGGACCACCTTTGGTGAGAAGGTAACAGCATTCCATGCGCCTTTCAGCATTTAGTCATGCCAGCCACATGACCAAGGAGACGTCTGCGGACAGCCCTGGCTCTTCAGCTTTGTAACGGAGATGAGCACCACCCCCTAGAGCCAGAAACGACTAGCACGTATATGCAAGGGGAACCTTTACCTTTATCGTCCATAGTGACTAACAACTCCCCCAAATTTTGAGTACAGTTTTCTTCTATTGCCATCTGTTACTTTTCTTCTATAGCTGTCTGTTACTTGATCCTTTCAACTAGAAGTGTTAGGATCAAACCTAGGCCTTTCCGTACATGAGCTATACAAATTACTTAACAGTGTAGCTGGAATATTGAGACAACTTCTTAAGTTTACTGAATTTATCAAATATTGGTTCTCTAATGTTAGAAAGAACTGCATTGCATAGAAAATGTATAAATTCCTCTTACTAGACAGTTTGGACTAGAAATAAGTAACTATTTGTTCTGAAGGAAAACCATTTTAATACCTTGCATTGTCTCCATGTCATCATATCTATATTCTTGGCCATGAATCATGTCTAGGATCAGTCATCAACAACTGAGTAAGATAACAAACTTAAGTTTAATGCAAATGAGTTATTGGCAAAAAAAAATATACTGATTTCTTTAAATAGCTGTTACCTAAAGGCCACAAAGTTCTGGAGCTTCAACTCATGTTCTTTATAGAAGTATTGTTATGCTAGTTAAATATGTATAAAGTTATAATAATAGAGATAAAGAGAAAATCTATTTTATTGATGCTGGTTTTGTATAACTCAATATTTACGATTCTTCTTGGCTTTGTTCTCCAATATACTAAATCTGAGTCTGTTGGAATTTTTTTTTAAAAAATAAAGACTATTATCTGTTGTCATGCAACTATTAAAATAGCCAAGGGCCAAAAGCTGCAAAATATTTAGAAAAACTTCCCCTCATTATTCCATTTAACATGAACATCTTAAAAAATACACTAATTTTAAGAGGCATGATTAACTCCCCAAAAGGTTTAGTATTGTTCATATACTAAGTCAGGAGCAGGTTTGTTGTGCTGTTCTGCTTTCAAGAATTACTGGTGCACAAAACTCGGGATTACTTCACTGAAGCGATTATTTGAAACACAGAATGATAATCAGAAGGTGTAAAGAAAAAGCCTTCCACTAAGTCGGGCTTTAGTTGAACTCCTTTCAGCAGCTACGACAACTTCACTCTGCCAAGGCAAAAAAACAGCTATTAATAGGGGGGAAACCTATCCTGATTTTTGCATTATTTTGTTGACTGGAAAATGACAGCCAGAATTTTCATCTGGCATGGCCTTCATCTAGGAATTGGGGAAATTATACTTTCCATACATTTGGAGGGCACTAAATTAATTGAAGAGCCAGTTTGATCTATTGATTAAGGCAATGGACTAGAGTTCTAGTCCTGCCTTAGGCATAAAGCCAGCTCAGTGATTTTGGGCCAGTCTGTCTCAGAGTTAGGAAACAGGCAATAGCAAATCCATTTCTGAAAAAACTTGCCAAGAAAACTGCAGGGATTTGTCCAGGCAGTCATCTAAGAATCAGACTCCATTGAACGGAAAACAAAAAAAAAGTCAGATTGGAAAGATTAAATGCTAAATGATGGGGGGGGGGGGGATGTAGCAAGCATGGAGTTTTCCACAAATAATTTTGGTTTTCTGTGGGTTAAAAGTCAATTCAATATGTTTTCTTTATAATACTAGTAATAAACAGCAAACAATTTACAATCTGGGCTTGTTTTCCATTGTGAGAAAAACAAGTACTACTTGTTTTAATTACCTTTTCTCCAGTTTTCATTGTAAGAAGAGTACTCCCAAATCTTGATTTTCCCTGCAATGAGAATATATAGCCACCAATGACATACTCTGCTGCGACTAAAGCAGTACTGGAATGCAATATCTATTGAGCAAACAGCTTCAGGTGACCAAATGAATGAAGATACCTGTTATAGCACTGAGGTTGGTGTCGCATTACATTTAAGCAATACCAAATGTTGTTAAACTAATTTTTAAAACCACCAGAAAGTAATCTGTTCTCTGGCAAGGATCTTTCTCTTGACAATCTGCTAGGTAGATTGAAAGGCATGACCTGTTGAGCTGTTGACTGTGCCTAGCTTCAATTCTCCAAAAGCCACTGTCCTCAATCAAAATAACGTTTTTGCTTAGTCAAATGTCTGGTTGAAATCAATGGTTCAATAATAGGAACAAGCTCTAAACTTACTAAAAACTGCACTTGTCAAAAGTATCCAACTTTAATTACTATATCTTATGCTAATTATGATTGATTAAATATCATTAATTGGTAAGTCTTTGTTAAATATTGCCCCAATGTTACGTATCTATACTGTTTGAAAACCTTTCTCTACTTGTGATAATTTCATGCTTGAGTCTGGTTGAGTGAAAAAGGAGGATTATTTTCCTGGCCCTAATGGATTATTAGTATGATGCTAGATTAGAAACAGCAAGACTTTTATTCTAACTTGAAACTAAAGAAATTGGCGTTTTCACATTTTAATCAAGTGACAGTTTAATAGTTAAAGATTCCTGAGTGCTCATGTTAAATTAAAGCAATAATCATGTCAAAACGTTTTATTACTATACCTCTGGAGAAATTATAACATACTGTGCCTGGGAAAAGAAAAAAGAGAAAAGAATGAAAGGCTACCATTATTTTTAACGGTACAATAATCAATTATAAATATTTCTAAAGGGTTTCTGGGTTGATGAATATGCCTGATTTCTTCTATGGAAACTCATTTCAGTGCAGAAACTTATTCTATATAATGGTACTATCTGCTGAGCAGGAACAATACACAATCATACAATTTTTGGTTCACATGCATATGTTTTAATTAATTTGTGTCCTTGTGTGTAAAAAAGTTAAATATTTAGCTGTTTTGCTTTAGTTTAGTGAAGTATTTTTCCACCTTTTTTGAAGCCTTGTTTTTGTTAAGTTACCTAAAAAGAACACAAAACAAAACCTAATAGAGCTTTTTTTCTTCAGCTTCACAAATTATATGTAATTAGCTATGTTTTTGAAATGATTCAGTTTTATTATAAACCAGTAATATGGTTACGCTATTGCTGCTTAGTTTTATGTTCAGGTAATATCAAAGTTAACTTTTAAAAGGAATTTTAATTGTACTGTTTTGACATTTAAATAAAAAATATAATTTTAACTAGTTTTCTTAAAGCTATTTTAAGTGCAATTAACAAACAACTTACCCAGTCTTCAGGACAAGGGGAAATCCATGATTTGCAGTGGTCTGTCACATGACCTGATGTGGTCTGGTTTCCACTGTATATATAAATATATCCAAGTTGTTCTCCAAACAATCCACCCATAATTTTTTGGTTTCGAAGAGGCGATGACACAATCATTTCATCTGTCAACATGCACAGCAAAAGATTCACACTATAAATATGGCCAAAATTACACAGGCAGTCCTCAACCTGCAACCACAATTGGGACCAGAAAATGGTCATTAAGCAACATGCTCACATGACTTCTTGTGGAGTCGTCCTGGAACAACCCACTCTGCCTGAACATATCGAGTAGGAAGAAATAAGAATTGGAAATAAGCTGCTTCTTAGATCTAACTCAGGCTCTGTGTCGTGAAAGGCTTTATAGTTAACAACCAAAATCTTGAGTTGCATCCAGAATCCAATTTGCAATGATTGCAGCTCACAAGATTGGAAGCAACCAAGGGGTCAAGGGATTTCTTGAGGCAAACAACCCACCTGTTTCATTTCCAGAGGTACCATTCATTCCCTCAAAGAGGGTGATACACCACATAGACCCACGCCATGGCCATCTTCTGGACTGCTTTGATAGCCAGGAAGGAGATAGAATTTAACCAACTGGTGGCCAAGTTGGCAGATTGGATGATTTTATTCACTTATTTGAGTGTTACACAGTTGAATTCAGCCCAGCTAACCTCACAAGACTGTGCACTGGGCAACTCACTTGAGAACAGGGATTTGTCTTTGAATTTACTGATTGAATGATGGCCATAGCTTGCTTTTTTAAAAAATCTGTCCTGGATACCCTTGCATTATTTCTCCTGCAGCTGGAAAATTGCTGCTGGAAAAGTTTACTTCCCTGGGAGAAAAAAGGGGATGGTGGAATGCTGAATTCACCTTCAGTAGAATTTACTGTGCAACCTTTTTGATGTTTTACAATTAAAAAAATGTAACTATACCAAGTCCATCGTTGTTCAGATCCCGTAAGTGCACCTCTTCTCCAAAGCGTGAAAATCTCCTATCTCCATTGAATGTGCTGAGTAAGGCAGGCGTGCCATTTCCCATCAAGTCGTATATCAAAACACTTCCTGCTTGTTGTAGCGCTGAGGATATAAATGAGATCCTGGAGACTGTGCCTAAAGGAAACCAATCAAGGTGACAGAATTATGGTTGTTACAAAAAGAAGTGTCAAGACAGCATTGCTGAGTTAAGAGTCCACATTTAAATGCAGGAAACATTGGCTCTATTGAATTTATTTGAAATAATGATCAAATAGTTTATCAACAATGACCTGCTTTTAGAATAATTGTGTGCAGAGTTCCCGTCTTAATGAAAACTATATTTTAATTTCAGCCAGGAGATGTTCTTTCAGCTAAGAGATTGCGCTAAATGGTTGCACATCCATGTCACAAAACTCAAGAAGCTGAAATGAACAGAATATAGGAGAAGAGAGATGCAAGTTATGAGTTAGCTGGATCATTGCTCTAATGTTACTAAGCATGGCTCACTCTAGACCTTTACCTATAGTAAAACAGGGAAGATGCGGCAAAATGTAAAAGCACTAGTTAAGAGGGGAAGGAAGGAATGAAATTAGCAATAGGGGAGTATAAGATTAACGCAGTGGAAAAACCCTATATTGAATATATTACTGCCTATGGCTCCATATGGGCCCATTCATCTTCTGCAATAAGTATTGGAAAGTATTTCAGAGTGTCCTCATCTTTGATTTGGAATCCTTTACTGATTAAAATTGAAGTATTTTAGTTTTCAAATAGTAATGCCATTGTAGCCAACATTTTTATTTACAGAAAAACTTAAAATGGTTAGACTGAGGAACTGAGAAACATCCCAGAAGAACTATCTAATAATACTTCCAACAGATTTGCATGGATGCAGTCATGAGGAGTTGATTCAGCTACAAGGCATCTTCATGTTCCCTCAGAAGCAGACAATCCATATTCCCCAACTTTAAAAAAATAAATAAATTCTGGAGGTACCTGAAATCACATGTCTGAAAAATCAAGATCTACTTCCTGATATAAAAGACCTAAACAATGCAAAATAAGTCCCCTAAGAAATCTAATTCAATCATTTCTGTAATATTATGTAAAGTTGTATAGTGCTAAGGACTCAAATGAACCAGCATGTCTGGGAACCCACAATGATAAAATATTACAGCCTCAATTTCTCAATATAAAAACAATATACACCCCCATCATGTCTCAATCATTGTATATAAATAATAAATGTATATTACGTTGAATTGATTTTAATGAACTTTCTCTGTACATAACTGCATTTAGATTCAGTATCACAATTCTTTGCCTACTGGAATTTCTTTATCATCTATCATGTGCATTACTGAAATAAAAATGCTGCCAAGTCTGGTTCCAAGTTCAGAATTGCATACCTTGCGTTGGTGCGCCAACTATCAGTACTTGCTTGGAGATTCCTTCTATGGAAAGGAAACCGGTTGCCAAAGCTGAACCAAATCTCCCATTTTCCTGCATGTTTATAATATGAATATATATACATATATATAGTTAAGTCTCATGAAATCACAAATTCTCTTGTTCTTGTTTTTTGTATTATTTCAAAAGTCACCATAAAGACTTACATCATCCCCGCTTAAAGTGAACCAGCTTTTTGTGTTTGGTGGGATATAGCCATACACCTTTCCAACAGCTTGTTTGTTGTATTGGGAGAAATAGCACCCTAAGCTAGAATACAGAATGATTATAGTAAAAAAAACAAAAAAAATAGATCAATTAGAATGAACACTGAACAATACTGAAAAAATAGCAATTACAAGACATACTGTAGAATCATTATCATCATCAATATCAGTTTCATTTCAAAATCTCCATTTTTGACAATCTGCTATTCATCTTAATTTGTCAGGTTAATATGACCAGTGATCCCCAGATACATAGACTACGATTCCCATTATCCTCCAGATTATTGCTCATTTTCTTGTGCTTGAGGTGTCACTTTTAATTGTCTGCTTCTTCCAAAGGCAGATATTTATAAATGGATTTAAATTTAAATCCCGGTCCGTGGATCATTTTTACCGGGCCGCAAAGCTTAGGCGCCACCATCTTGTTTCGACAGCGCTTCTGGGTTTTCAGTTGCTTCCGGGATTTTGGTTGGAAAGTGCTTCCGGTTTTTAAGTTGGAAAGCAGTGTTTGGGTGCTCGCGCCTTAGTTTCATCGAAGGGGGCGGCGGCTTCGAACAAAAAGCCGTCCTGATGGCGGTGAAGTCTCACGTTACTCAGGTACCGGTCCATGGAAGAATAAATAATCGTGAAACCGGTCTCTGGTTCGAAAAAGGTTGGGGGCCACTGCTTTAAACAAGTTTTAAAGATCTGATTTGTTTCAAGTGTTTTTAATCTTTTAAGTGTTTCTCAACCTTAGCATCTTTCAGATGTGTGGACTTCAACCCCAGAATTCCCCAGCCAGCTTCCCAGTATGTTGAAATACGCACATCTGAAAGTTGTCAAAGTTGAGAAACATTGCTTTCTGTTAAAGAGAGTATGTACCTTGTGAGAGGGTTGTACAAATGTGTTGGTTATGTTTGCCCCTAGGTGACTGCCTTCTTTTATTGTTTTATTATATGGCTTTTAACTTTTAATCCTCCCAAAAGTTGTTAGAAGCAAGACAGGTTATACATTTGACTGACAAATAAAGCAAACTCACTTTCAAATAAATACAATACTTAGGCTTGGTCTCTACTTGTAACAAGGAAATGTCTTGTGGCTTTGATCCCAAATGAGCTGCAAATACTATTTTAAAGAAAAGTAGTTACTGTTCAACTTTAAGAAAAAAATATATCTTGAATCAGATGAATGGACTATATATTCAGAATTGAGAACTGCAGGCAGCTGATTATATAGCAACAGCACTTAGACTTATATACCACTTCATGGAGCTTTACAACCCACTCTAAGCTGTTTACAGGATCAGCATATTGCCCTCAACAATCTGAGTCCTCATTTTACTGACTTCAGAAGGATGGAAAGCTGCGTCAACCTTGAGCTAAACAGGATTGAACTACTGACAGTGGGCAGAGTCACTTGCAATACTGCATTCTAATCTCTGGGCCACCACAGCTCTTAATATATATCTGTTAATGCAAGACTATATGTGTTCTACAATACGATCAGTTGTAAAACCTAGACACAGCTTTGTGGTTAGTCTTGCTTTAAATCAAAGATGGTTCTTCCAAGGGCTCTACTTAGCCTTTGAATGATACACCAGGGAAATATTCCTAAAAGTCATGGGCAGAGCCAGGATAAAAGTGACATTGGTTTTATTTTATATGTGTGTATATTCAATGGAAATATGGTTGTTTTCCAATCATGCATTTAATAATGTTCCCCTTCTGACACATTAAGTTATAATTTGAAATATATCTTTTGAAATTTCTAGGAACTGTAGCTAAGGCATGTAACCCCAAGGCTGATTCAGCTGCAGAATCAGCTGATTCAGAATATATCTGATTCAACTGCAGAAAACAAGGTCATACTTGGAAAATGACCATTATTAGAGCATCAGAATTTTTATATGCAACAGATCAACATTTACAGAAAATTGTTGATCTGCTGCAGTGAGAAAGTACAGAAGATAGGTTGTGAAGAAGGCCAAGAAGACCATCACACACATAAGTATTTAAAAATAAAGGCATATACCTTGTACAATTTCTCCCGAAAGGACTTCCAATAAGCAGCAAGGTTTTATTTAGGAGCTGGACACTGCTGAGTGATGAGCCAAACCAACCATAATCTGTTTCCCCTTTTACCATCCAGTCAGCATCTGCTACAAAGAGCAGCCCTGCAAATAAGGAGAAAACCAGAGCTGATGAGAAAGTTCTGTTTTGGGAAGAGATTCCACGCAAGAAGCATTGCTTCGTTCAATCTTACTGTGTAGCATGAACCATTACTTTATATACCTATAGATAAATACGAAGAGGAGATTTTCCCACCAGAATGGATAAGGCAGTCCTCGACTTACAATCACAATTGACCCCAACATTTGTATTGCTAAACGAGACCGTTTTGTTTTGCCCCATTTTATCACCTTTCTTGTCACAGTTGTTAAGTGGATCACTGTAGTTGTTAAGTTAGTGGCAGGGTTGTTAAGTGAATCTGGCTCCCCCACCCCCCACCCCCATTGATTTTGCTTGCCAGAAGGTCACAAAAGGAGACGGCATCACCCTGGGAGTCTGTAACTGTCATAAATAGGAACCAATTACCAAGTATCTGAATTTGGATAATGTGACCATGAGGGTACTACAATATGATATGTCACTTTTTTCAGTGCCATTCTAACTTCCAACGGTCACTAAACAAATTGTTATAGGTTGAGGGCTACCTGTATCCTGAAATTTGAGATAGGAGGAGGTGGTTATGGATGGAGGATCTGCAAGCCCTCTTGTAAATGCCAGGGCTCAACTCAGCACATTTCTATGTGTTGCTTATAGAAACAAATGTCCTATTACACACTCTCTCTCTCCCTCTCCCTCCCTCCCTCTCTCCCTCCCTCTCACTCTCTCCCTCCCGCTCTCTCTCCCTCTCTCTCCCTCCTTTCCTTTCCTTTCCCCCCCCCCCCCCCCCCCCCCCCCCCCCCCCCCCCCCCCTCCCCCTCCCTCCCTCCTCTCTCTCCCTCCCCCCCCTCTCTCCTCCTTCCCTTCTCTCCCTCCTCTCCCTCTCCCTCCCTCCCCTTCTCTCCCTCCCTCTCTCTCCCTCCCTCTCTCTCTCCCACCCTATCTCTCCCTCCACCCCTCTCTCCCTCTCTCTCTCCCTCTCTCTCCCTCTCTCTCTCTCTCTCCATGTGTATGTAACAAAAGGTTTCTATTTTGAAGTGGTCCTATACTGCGCTGGGTCCGGTGGTTAAGATTTGGATGTAAATAATGCTCAGTTTGGGGAAGCTTAAGATTTTAAAGAAACTCAGTATCTTTTTCTAAGCCAGCATTTCTCAAACTTTCAGGTTTAAGATGTATGCCCTTCCAGAATTTCTGGGTTGGAAGTCCACACATTTTAAAGCTGCCAAGACCGAGAAACACTATTTTAAGCCATGAAGACAACTAACTGCCTCACCAAGAACTCCAGTACACACTGTATGAAAATCTCTGGGATGGCATATGAATCTCGTGCATCAGTGCAACCTGAATTGAACCTAGATGAATGCAAAGTTAATTAAACAGGTTACACATATGATATGGGAATGAGCATTAAATATGTTGCCTAGGAATCATTCCTAGGTGTGCTTCTTAAAAAACCTGAAGAAGGATCTAGATGTATTATTCTGACAAATGTTTCAGTGAGAATTTGGAAGTATCAATATGGGATCCTTAAGGAAACAAAAACATTTCCCAAACAAGCTTACTTTGCCTATTTCTGTAAGAGGAAGAATAAAAAGAAGCCACAAATCCTCGTTGTTTTCCACCAGAAGGTGCATATGGGGAACCAAGCACAAGGTCATTATCTCCATCCCTGTCAACATCAGCTGTCAGCAGGGACCAGCCTAGATTACAATATATTTCCTGCAAAAATAACAGAATAACAGAGTTAGAAGGTCCACTTGAGGTCTTCTAGTCCAGGGGTCTCCAATCTTTAAGACTTGTGGACTTCAACTCCCAGATTTCCTCAGCCAGAAAAGCTAGTCCAACCCGCTCCTCCAGCATAGGATGGGATGGGATGGGATGGGACGGGACGGGACGGGACGGGACGGGACAGGACAGGACAGGACGGAACGGAACGGAACGGAACGGAACGGAACGGAACAGAATAGTATAGAATAGAATAGGACGTCCTATAACTTTTCAGACAACTGGTTGCCCAATCTCTTCTTAAAAACCTCTAGTGATGAAGCACCCACAACAAATAAATGCTCTGTCTTACATATTGCCAAAAAAAACATCAGAAAATAAAATACAAGCTGAATAGTCAAGACCTTGTTGATGACACAAACTTTGTCAAGGACCTTGAAGTACTCATCTCTAATGATCTAAGTGCTAGAGCCTACTCTAACTACATAGCCAAAAAGGTGTTAAGAGTTGTTAATCTAATCCTGCGTAGTTTTTTCTCCGGTAATATCACTCTACTAACTAGAGCATATAAAACATTTGCTAGACCAATACTTGAATACAGCTCATCAGTCTGGAACCCGCATTAAGTATCTGATATTAATACAATTGAGAAAGTCCAGAAATATTTTATGAGAAGAGTCCTGCACTGCTCTACTCATAGCAGAATACCTTATGCCACCAGACTTGAAATTTTAGACCTAGAAAACCTAGACTATGCCGCCTTCGCTTCGATCTTAGTACATAAAATTATATATTGCAATGTCCTACCTGTCAATGAATACTTCAGCTTCAACCAAAACAATACAAGAGGACACAATAGATACAAACTCAAGGTAAACCACACCAAACTTGATTGCAGGAAATACGACTTCAGCAACAGAGTGGTCAATGTCTGGAATACTCTACCTGACTCTGTGGTTTCTTCCCCAAACCCCAAAATCTTTAACCTTAGACCTCATCCCTTTCCTGAGAGGTCTGTAGGGGGCATGCATAAGTGCAACAACGTGCCTACCGTCCCTATCCTATATTTATAACCATGTTTATACTTATACCTGTTATCTAATAATTGTTTGACAAAATAAATAAATAAAAAGTAAAATAAATAAATAAAACTTCTATTGTCAATAATTTGGTTTCCAAATTAAAAAAACATACAATTCAATTGCTGAAATACAGCTTCTTTAGTAAAATTTATTTATAGAATAGGTATTATTACTACATATAGAAGCACAACTACAGACACATTAGAGCCATAGTTTGCCTTTTTTATCAAAAGAACCCCAAAAGCTCCACCTATAGTATTAGCACTATCCACTCATGAATGATAAATATCAGTATGTTAAAAATGTATCCGTTAAAGAAAAGTGTGCCGTACAAGCATATTTTGATTGTGTTTAGGACACATAAGAATTATGCTTTCACCCCAAATAAAAATTGTGCTGAATATCTTGGAAATTAATTTTCAAGATGCTTGTGATAAAAAAAGTGAATTGCATGCTTTGCCTTTTCATCAGCAAACTTACCTGGCAAATTATGGTAATATTTGGAAGACTGTGGAAGCCTCCTCCTCTGTTGCCAAGAAAAATGTACACAGAACCCTAGATAAGAAAATATAATGTTTTAATATATTATGTACCCAAGCTAAAGTTTTAGGTTTTAAAGTATTACAATGGCAGGCTTTTTTATTCTTTTCATCTTCACATTAAAATGCATTTCTAATAATTTGGTGAATTAAAATATAATAGAGTGTCAAAATGTAGCAAATCACGTAAAGGGATTGGACTATAAAAACCAGCCAAACCTTTGTAATCCAGATTAACCTAATCAATTCATCTATAAAATATTGGTCAATATAAAAACAGGTAGCCCTCATTTAGTAAACCAAACTGGGACCAGCAATTTGATTTTTAAGTGAAGCAGTTACTAAGAGAAATTGCAATTGTTTACTTTCTTATTTCTGCTTTCCTTTTGCTTACAGACCTGCAAAAATTTCTTTCTTTCTTTCTTTCTTTCTTTCTTTCTTTCTTTCTTTCTTTCTTTCTTTCTTTCTTTCTTTCTTTCTTTCTTTCTTTTCTATCTATCTATCTATCTATCTATCTATCTATCTATCTATCTATCT